TTTCTTTCCTTTTCTATAAATATCATCTTAATGTAACATAAAAAGATAAGCAATGTTAGGAATACCTAGCAATTTATTCTAATGACCTCTCCAAGGCAGGGATGGCAGTACCATTTCGTTTCACTTAGCGCTAATAGACTGGTGGTAGCTGATGGCCATACTCTGTTATAAGATAGTTTAAGGCTGAACCTAGGCAGGTGAAAAAGTTACACAACGATTGATTCGTAAGGTCTGCCATGGGCACAGGAGGGAGATAGAGCGCCACGTCTTCACTCTAAAAGATCAATGTGGAGTCTCCCATGGTAACAATGATACTTAGAAACTCGAACTGGGGGAGGAGACATCTGCAGGTTCCTCTGCCCTTAACTCTCGCTTTTTTTTTTTTCTTGGAGATGGAGTGTCGCTCTGTCACCCAGGCTGGAGTGCAGTGGTGCGATCTCGGCTCACTGCAACCTCCACCTCTCAGGTTCAAGCAATTTCCCTGCCTCAGCCTCCCAAGTAGCTGGGACTACAGGCACGTGCAACCAGGCCTGGCTAATTTTTTGTATTTTAGTAGAGATGGGGTTTCACCGTGTTGCCCAGGCTGGTCTCAAACTCCTGAGCTCAAGCAATCCGCCCGCCTCGGCCTCCCAAAGTGCTAGGATTACAGGCATGAGCCACTGTACCGGGCCACCTGTCACACTCTTTGTGCAACCTCAGGTCACCTGCACCTGGGATAGCTAGCCGGTAGGTTGGAATGCCGGGAAGATGCAGAGATGGAAAGAAAAGAGATGAGGGGGCCAGCAGGGGTTGGGGACGGTGCCACATGGACTCCCTGCAGCCTTGTGAGTTACAGAGTGCCCCGGTTTGCATGGGGTGCCAGAACAAAGTAAGGACTAACAAAGTTCCCAGAGTCCGCTCGGGGAGAATAACACCGGCCACTTTGAAAACATCGGGAAGGGAGGAAGCTTTTGGAAACTGCCTAACCCGGGCCTGTGAGGCAAGAATGAGATCCCTGATGAAATCTTGAGCGTGACCCTAAAACTGTCCTCAGCCTTGAGTCTGGCTGGGACTGCCCTGCTGCCCAGCGCACATGCCTGACTGTGCGGGGGTCCAGCAGGCTCCGAGAGTTGACCCACCCCCGCGTGCACGGGGTGGCTCTGGTTCCATCGGGAGGCCTGGAAGCCGTGGAAGTGTCCATCACCTTGGCCTTGCATGTTAGCGTCTCTTTGAAACACCTGGGCCCAGGAAGAACGTCAGGCTGGCCGCAGCTGCTGTGCGGGGGCCAGGGACAACTTGGGGAGAGAGAAAGACCCCTTCCCGTTTCCCGTCCGCACCTCGCAGCCCTGTCCAACACACGCACCCAACGCACACCCTGCACACGCACACCCCGGGATGCAAATGATAACCGCAGAGCCATCACTTGTGAAGCTTGACAGAAAATAATGAGAAACACTAAATCTTTTATAAGGTCAACACTTGCCTTAGCCGAGCAGCTGTCAAACAAGAAAAGAATTTAGCGCTGGAGCCACGAAACTTCCATCGGCTCATTAAACCCAACAGGGCCCGGGCCTGGCGTGGCGGCGGAGACGCGGGGCCTTCCGTTTTGTGTCAGTAATTTGCGGCGGAGGAGGCAGAAGAAACAGCCGGCGC